TTTTTTATCATTTGCTTCTTTGGAACAGTGTTTCAAGTTTAAGATAGCTCTGGGAATATCACATGTATATTTTCGTCTGAGATAGCGTCAGATCAAGCCGAATTTGTCCAGAGTGGCTTCCCCGCATTAGGTCATAGTGAGAATAAGATTACAGGTAGCGGTACATATCAGGGGTTTTTCAGTCTCTAATGTAGGATGGTCATTTCCGATCTTAAAATATGCCAACAGTAATGCCACTCTTTTGGTCGTTCAACCATTAATTTCCACTGTGTTATCTCCAGTCCCTGTGCGTCCAGCATAACCTTATCTGCCTTGGTTTCAAAGTTAGCATTGAGACCGTTGTCTTCGCCTGATTTGATACGTTGGCGCAAGCCAAGCTTCTTTCCAAAGTCTTTAAGATTGAATGAAGAGCTTCGTTTTATTTCCTTCGAAACTGTAAATGCCTTGACGGTCTCTTTTTCAAGGGAAATGTTCTCGCTTTCTAAGGCCTCTGCGTCTATTTCAACTTTTCCTGTTTTCTTTGTTTCTGTTGTGCTTATTTCTTCATTAGGGGCCTCTGTTGGTGTGCAAACCTCCTCCTTATCCTCTTTATTTGACCCGTGGTCATTTTCATGTCGGGAGTGTTCGGATGACTTCGTGCAATTCAGATCCTCGCTTTCCGCTTTTGTGATATTGTTCTCCTTCCGTATGACATTAAGTACAATCGCATTTTCTTCAATACCTCTTTTGATCTCGTCTTGTTTTGAGTCATTGACTCGTTGTCCTGGAGACTGTTCCTCGTTACCAGGACTAGGCACAAACTCTAGTTCCTTAATGGAGCTCATCAAAGACTGGAGAAGTCGTTGATTGGCTAAATCTAACCTTCTCCTTTCCTCCGACTCACCATCGTGTGTTGCATTGTAGATCCCCGTATGAAAACATGATGTGTCTGTGCTGTTTCTTTCAGGGCGAGTAACGCTTGTGACCGGGACTTTCTCTTGATTCTCAGCGAGATCTGGGGCCGAGTACCATACGGTTGGAATTTCCTCTGCACTCGACGAATAAGATACCCTTTTGTGAGATTCTTTCTTGGCGTCATTTTCGTTGTTGTTAACAATCTTTATATCCTCCCTATCTGCCGCAGATTCTTGTTCCTTCGTAGTTTCTACCTTTTCTCCATTCTCTTCGTTTCTGTTCATGTCCACACTGCATTCAGTTGCTACATGGGTCCAAGCTGCCTTCTTCCATTTCATCGAGCTCGAGTTCACACTTCCAATTACAGTCTCCTTGTCACTAAAGGACACTTTTCTTTGAAGATCTTTCTTTTCCCCTGCTGCTCCTTTGAGTTTCAGAAACCGAAGCACTTGATTAACTTGTTTGGTTTGCGCACTTACAACTGCCTCGTACCCGAGGCTGAGACGAAGACCTCCGATGAACTTCGCCTTCTTTCCGACGGAAGTGCGACTGTCAGCTATGCATATCTCCAGCGCACGGCGTTTAATTTCGTGATAGTTGATGCCGACCACAAGATATTGTTCATTCCAATAAGGATCTTTTCCTTTTCGTGCCTTTGTTCGGCACTTGGTTGTCTTCTTGGCATCGGGAAGAAGATAACTAAGGAGAAAACAAACAAACATCAGTTAAAGTTAATATCAATTACTTTAGCCTCGAGAAAAAGTATCGAGAGTTGTCATAGCTTACTTACCACTCAAGCAAGTGCTATTGAATAAATACTTATTCAAAAGACAGAATGTTCAGTTGAACTTCGCCACTTAATAAGGAGCACCTTTTGAAATCTCAGTTAAATTTTCGCCAGCCCCGTGGCGATTTTTTACCAGTTTCGACATTTGCACCATTGCATGCGTGTATCTCTGGACATAAGTGACTTCAGGACACCTTAATCAAGCCGCGAGTTGTGGCACCATGTCTTGAAGTTTTGCAGTAAGCCCCTTGTGTTAACATGGTTTTAAGACAGTTCCAAAAAGGATATTCCTTGTTCATTATACAAAATCAAAAACGGGGGTCAGTTAGCATAAATCTTAATGACGGACATAACTACTATCTTTTGATGTTCCGCCGAGGCAAACTCTTTCAGTATTTTATCATCGCTACACGTTAGCTGAGCCCATTGTTAGGTCTCATGCAGCCGACCCATAGTCTGTCAGTGAGATTTTTCTCTAAATAAAAGAGATGCCTCTAGTGTGTTAGAAGGGTCTACACTTAAAGAAACGTTAACTGGAGTATGACCTACTTTTCAGCAATGGGTGCCTAATAGATGAATTTCAGTGCTTAGTTTTCCCACCAGCGTTTTGTCAAAAGTCAGTTGTTTAGTTGTAACTTCATTAGTTAGCCTAAGAAAACAGCCTACATTTCGAGACTCCACCACTGGTTTCCGCTACAAATGACTTCTGAGAAACGACAGAAGAAATAAGTCCATACTGATGACGTGTCACTACCCATATTTGGGTAGTACTTCTGGCTGGATGAAGCAAATTTTCAACCAATCAGTAGCACTACCCAGCGTGACGTGTCATCAGTATGGAATTTCTACGTTTGGTTCCTCAGACGTCATTTCGCCAGGAAATCATTGGTGGCGTCTCGAAATGTGGGCTGTTTTCTCATGTTATTTTTAATAGTGTGTTGTCTGTTATGATTCCTTTGGCTTCCGTTTAAAGACTTTTGCGGTTTTGATTACTCTTCCTGTTTAGGAAAGATGGTATGGCGAGGAACCTGGAAGAGAATGCTGCTCTTCCCCCCCCTCCCTTCCCCTCCCCTGTTGGGTCAAGACCTTGCCCACAGGGAACCCAATATTAGAAAGACAACTTTTTCAAGCGAGCACTTCTCGTTGCATACCATTTTGAGAAAGTCTCTGTTGAGCCCGGTTTTCCTTGCGGTAAATCCCTTCCTCGGAACAGGTGAATATGAAGAAAGCCTTGGCTTGATTGATTACTTGTGTTTTGTTTGTAATGTCTGGCATCCACTTCAGTTTCTTGTGAGCTACTGTAGAGCAGACCCACGAGGATTCTCGGTCTACCCAAGGAACTTAGAGGTTGCTGGGCAAAAAGTGAAAAATAGAAACAATATGAGCCTTCCCCTCCAACAACTTGGGTTTCTAGGCCACAAAGAGAATCTTGGGGCACACGGGAGAAAGAACACTAAAGAAAAGCGAAAGATGATACATTCTTCCAGGTAACAACAGTCCTGACTCCCGGGGGGGGGGGGTACTTCCTATACTGGGAGGCTCCACTCGAAAGGGGTGCCTTTCTCAGGCTTAAGGTATATTAAAGGTTAGGGAAATCTACCATTTCGGTCTGTAAAAATCCGTAAAAACGTCCAAAAGGGCTAACAGCCGTGCATTTTACATCTGTGAAAAGTCAAAAAACACTCTGGTTTAGTGATTTATTCATATTTAGGAGATAGTACATTTACAGCAGAAAACGGGTGCAAAGTTCTAAACAAGGTATGTGGAAGGGGTACCATTTGTCAATAGAAGGTATACGAAAGGGATATCTTTTCTGTCAAAAATGATATATAAAAGGGTAAGGGGTTGGACCTCGAGGCGGAGCCATGAGGGCGAGAGGAATAATTGTTTTAGTAAAATCCAACTAGTTGGTTAAAAATGTCGAGACAAAACAACTTTATCTAGCAAAACGCGATTCAGCCGCCATTGTTTTGGTTTTCAAAGCCGGCGTTTTTCGCTACTAGTGGGCTATAACATATAGCCTAGTAGGAGCTCCACCAATCAGAACGCAGCATTGATAATAGGCCACTAGTTGGATTTTACTAATTTATGATACAGAACGTAGGACCTGTGAGACGTTTGATCAGGAAGACATACCAGAAGTGTGAAAATTTCTCAGAGATGAAACCGTTGACAGCTGCTGCGCCATTTTTTGGCTTGTCAGGATGGCGTTACAATAGAAAATTCCTGCTAAAAATACCGCGCAATCTGCCTTAAAAGTCCTACACATTACTGGACACACACCCCCCGAATCACGCTATGTCATGTGCTTACGGAAGGGCGAGAGCATATTGTCGCGTTGAAATCACGCAATGAAAATATGGGGTGACCAGAACCAACCATGAAAGTGGACAAAATCATGGCAAAATGTACAGCGACACTTGAACTTTTGCTTTTCACCGAGTCTAACTGCTGGTATTTCTTAGAAAAACTTTTCTGTTGTTCGGTGCCCTTCTGACAAGGCACAAAATGACGAAACAGCTGTTGAGGCTCTATCGGAACCTTACGGATTGTAGTGCACCAGGGTTTCTCCAAGTCTCCGAATTTGTTCTTGAATTAAGCTCAATTGGCCTTGGCCAAAAATGGGAACAGTCTTCCGAGCCTCGCCCGAGGCATAGCATAGCCTTTGCCACGTATATGTCCCTTACGTGACCACGTGACCACTGAAGACCCACCTTAAGAATGACTTGGATGTCCAGCGGATATCCCATACCACCCAGAATGTTCTGTGGAAACAGCTGAGTAACCTGGTCAGCTTCTCCAACGAAATGAACAGCAAGAGTTAATTCTGGCGAGTTCTGCAATTCTGTGTACGTCACATAGTCGCTACCTGGTGTAAATTGAAAAGAAGAAACAAACGTTCAGTGTATTAATCCTTACCTGGGTTGTTCGGTAAAAGTTGGATAGCGCTAGTATTTACCGGATAAATCACCATACAGCGGATAAGTATTGTTCAAACCAATTGCGCTATCCATTGGATAGCGATTTTTGCCTTATCCACCTTTTGAGCAGCCAGGCCTGGAATGGATTCACTACTTTTTGGCCCTGCCCTGGTGGGGCTTTTAAAACAATTCTTAATTTCGATTACAATTCATTTGAAAAGTGCCAAGAAGAAGATCTTGTTTAATTTTTACCTTGCTGGAAAACTCGACTCCGTTCTACTATCTTATGATATACAGCCTGAGGCGACCAACAAGATATGTAACATGTATTGTCTTACTCTTGCTCCCTATGTAAACTTATAACCTTGCACAATATTTGTCTAGTTAAAGGAGCTGTGCCACGAAATTTACCAAAATTTAAACAAAGGAAACTGACACCAAATGAAGTGAAACATAAAAATAACAGCTCAAAACTTAAAAAAAAGCTATGATTTTGTCATCCACAAGTAATTCCCAATTTTCGTAACGAATAAGGACGAGCAAGTGGCATTATAAACAAAATGAAATCACTAGCAGTGTCACAGCCCCTTTAATCTCTGTAAAACTCGGATACTATTGTCAGTCTTGATTTTCTTACCTACAGTATAACGAACATGATTTTGGCCTGTAATTCCCGTCATGGTGACAGTGATTTCTCCTCCGTATTCCTCTATGCATGACAGTCGGAGGGTGACTTCCTCGACCAGCAGACCACAGCAGCCAAAATCTATGTGCCATTTGATACACCCTGTACTGGATCCCGGCACCCTCTCTAGGTACACCTGTGGACAAGAAAGAAACTGGAAATAAAGGTGGGAATACCTTGAGAGAACAGGCAGCCCAGCTTGACCAATACTTAAAGCTTAACGAATATTCTCCTTTTCCTGAAACCAATGAACTTGGGGGCAGTTCTCTTCTTATCAGGAAGACATGGCTTTACATTATAGAACAACATTTGCCATTTGATGTCGGCTAATTTTATACTGGAAGGGAATTATCCGTCAAAGATGAGTTGGTGTTTAGACGAATTTTAGGCCAACATTCGTCTTCGTGATTCGTCCGACACGGATAATCCGTCATTGAATTTATACCTAGACGAAGAACGAAGACAGTTTTGGCCTAAATTTTAACCTGAGAAAGAATGATACCTATTTCTTTGGAAGATTTCTAAGCATAAAAAGAACCTCGATTCCTTTTTTTCCCGTACCAACTGGTTAAACACTTCTCCACACATTTCGTTGTTGCTGTATCGCGGCATCTTTATTTTGTTTCCGGACGAGCCGATAGTTGATGAAATCAATGTCCACTGTTGCCAATTCAATCATGCACTTTGCCAGCCAACTATTTAGCTAAAATACTCCTCAGTCTCTAAGAATTTCCTTCAAGCAACTCCTTAAAATCGATTAAAAGGGCTATGAGCGCCGCCAGTTTGTTTCCTTTTTTTCTGTCTAAATCCTTCCTCAAACTAAAGATTCGTATAAATTTGTCTCTCGAATTTATACCTAGAGGAATTAATGAATTCAAAGAAGATCACCGCCGTTAAAGACGCAACTTATGCACCTGCGAAAAGAAAGCCTGAAAAATTTCAGGCTTGTCAAGAGAGTCAAACCCTGGCATCTGCGATGCAGGTACAGTGCTCTAACTAATTGAGCTCTTGTAGCGAGCCAACAGGCAGCTGGTCATTAACTGATTCGCGATATACCCTGTAAAGCTTAGTAGTCTGACGGGTAAAAATCGCCAAGAAGGATAACCGGTTGTCTCTAGTATAAACTCGGCCAACGGGTGCGTTACCTGGCCAATGTCTTCGTTTAAGTGTCGGCGCACGTTGTCAACAGAGAACATAGCTTTATCCCATCCCGGGATTACTCCCTTTGAGGATGGATCTATGGTATCAAACCAGTCTCTGTAGTAACTGTCACACGTGGTACTGTATCGTAAACGGAATCTGTGGACCAAAGAAAGATCAAACTTTAACAACTGCCTTGTTCGATCTTGTGTCAGATGTTTCAAACAACATCTTTTGCTGTCTTTGCCAATAAGGCGGCAAACCAACACATTCGTCAGCCTCGTCCACGCCCTCCCCTCCCATTTTCTCAGGGAAAAGCAGTTGGAACATGGTTGGCAATTTATCCTTGGACCGTCCATTTTTCACCAAGTGGAAAGGCCTGCATGGGTAACAGCGTTGTTGACGCCTTTTCGTATAGATTACATCAGTAACTCGAGACAGTAATAATAACTGATAAACTTGAGGTCGACGGTGCGCTCATTTTTCCCCCCTCTATCCATCAATGTTCCCTTTTAAGAGCATTTAAAGCTAGTCAAAGCTACATAGAAAAAAGAGAAGTGGAGAGAAGGATGTGATGTCCCCGGGGATCGAACTCGGGACCTCGCGCACCGAACGGACCGTGCACTAACGCTTAGCCTTGTCATCAATAGCACACATTTGCCGCGAGCTTTGCTTCCCTTGTTGAGGCAAACAGAACGAGTTTTTATATATATATAGCCCCAGGCGGTTTCAAATCTAATGGCAAAAAGCAGAACCACTGGAAAGATTCAAGAAAGGATGTCATACCGGACGCAGTATATATTGACTGATTATATTTTGTCCGGTAAAATCATCTAGAAATCCCTAAGGGCATAACGCTGAGGCGAGTTGCATGTTTTCCCCTAAATTCCCGGATGCAACAATAGCAATATCATCACGGGTTTGTTCTTGTTTTTTTTTTTTTTTAAACAAACAAGTTGAGTTATTTTCCCATTGTATTTCCCCACGACAGAGTTGCCGCACTATTTTCTTTTACCATTTTTTTTTATAGTAGTATCTCGCCGAAGTTTTGAAGACATTGCCGCCAAATAGACTTCTTCAATTCCGTCAATTATTGTTTTTTAGCGTTTTTTCTGCTCCAAAGTAGCCAATATAAAAACTAAGAGTGCAACCTTTGCCTTTTTCTCTTCTCCTCCGTTCTTCCTCCTCGCTCTTTCTTTTCTCCTTTCCTTTTGCTTCGCTAGTGTAATTTCGAACTTAACCGGACCCCAAAAAAACTGTTTGGGAGCCCTTTGTCACCCAAATGGCTGAAATTCCGCTAGCTTCGTTTCCAAAAAATCGGCTAGATATATATACTGCTGACATTTGCAGCTTTTATTGACCGGTCTTTATTGGAAAGTTAGGCAAACGTTTTTTGAGGCAGAATTTCGTGTGATTGTAGACGTCTCTAATTTCCTTTGTTGCTCAGGAAACTGAATTAGGAGACGGCTGCACGCAGGTAGCCTGAGAAAACAGCCGACATTTAGCGACGCTTCCACTGGTTTCCCCGCGAAATGACACTTTCGCGGGCAAACCAGTGGAAGCGTTGCAACATGTCGGCTGTTTCACGCAGGCTATCGTGTGATTAGTGACCATTAGTCTAGGATAATCTTCTGACGAATATACGGGGAGAAAAACATATATATTTAGAACTGTAGTTGGTAAGAAGTGAATAATGCTTAAAGACAAACATATGCTGCTCTCCCAGGAAAACAAGATAATTTATTTTACTGATAATGAATGTTCCGCTCGCTTGTCTCTGTTGCTATATAATTTCATTACCGGGTCAACCACACAATCACTCTGGTCCGTAGAAACTTATCTGAATATGATTGGGAAAAGGCAAATAGAAATTGCGGCTGATGCGTAGTGATTTATCATTTATTTTGAATTTTATTCTGAACAGGAATCGCAAGGCATCTATATAAATAATATTCATTGCATTTTGAAAAAAGGAATTGTGATTGTTTTGATCGAAGCTATCATAATTAAGTCTTCATTAAAAAATACCCAAGAAAAACATCAAGCATTAATTGTCTGCTCTAGTCATGTGGTTGCCACTGCGAACATCGAGACTCAAAAGTCGAGTTTTGTTTAAAATTTTATCACTTTATTTTTGGTGTAGATAATAGAAATCTGATCTTGCTGAGAATATTATAGACATCGACAAAAATTCGAGTTATTTATTCACAGTTAGTTCATTTGTCGTGGATCCTAAGTAAATTTAAGTTGCATGTAAAATAGTCAGTTTTTTTTAACTCGTTTAATTAAGCCTCCTTAACTGCAATGAATATTGACCGTTTGATTTAACGCACAGGGAGATATCTTAGCTACCTGTAACGTTAAAAATCTCTTAGAATAAAGGGGAGATGTAAAGTTTAAGCCAATTTTGTTAAGTGCCGTCTCGAATTTGAAGATTTATATGCGCATTTTTTACGCCACGACTCGCTGTCAAGCCCCTCCGAAACTTGATTCTTTGTTTCAAATTTTGCATATTTTTGCCTGAACAACTGACGGTCGGTCGGTCGCTTGTTTTTGTGTCTCGGCGCGAGGTCTTAAATCTACTCTTAACCTGAGATCAAACCCAATCAATTTTAGCGGCTTCCATACATTCTCTCCTACGTGGTCGTGCTAAAATTGGGCCTGATACAAAGTCTTGCACGCCTGTGCTGCTGCGGCCAGATTTTGATTTCGCCTTTCCCGCAACAATTTTATTTAAAAAGCGAAGTAAAAATAGAGCCTGATCGCAAGTTAATCCACCATAGCCACCCCCGTTTTTTATCATATAGAGGCTACAATGTTTTTTATTTTCTTATAAAAGCATTGTTGTTTATAGTCACCTTCAGGTTGCTTATGATAATCACTCTAAATCAAGGCGATGAGTATCAACTTAGAATTTTAATTTCAAACGCAAAACCTACGAGTTAGTGTTTTTATTTGTCTTCCATAGGTGGAACGCGTGAGAAATAACTGTCATTTTAAATAAAAATATACTTTAGCTTTGTTGATATTTTTACGTCTCAAGGAAGAAATTAAAGCAATTGTGCTCACCTTGATTCGATAACCTCTTCCTTGTTTGGGGTAAAAGTGTAACTTGCCCTTTGCTAAAAATAAAAACCAAAATAACAAAAAGGGTCAGAGCACTGTAAAATCAAACACCTTACCTTTCAAGTCGAATATGACATGCAGGAACTTTTATAATGGCTATACCATAAACATATTAAAAGTCTACAGCGACTTCTTTTTTTCATTGCCCGGCTCGAGTCGCTCAGTATAACAATCACTGATCCCTGATTCCTTTTGTTGCTCTACATGACTCGATGATTAGGCTCACAAGATCATAAACTGGCAGACTATTCGAACACTCGGGAGACAGCATTACAATTTGGGCATCTATAACATTATTTAAATTAAACTGAAAAGAACCCGCTTCAGAAAAAATTGTTACGTGGTGAATATCACTTTGATGGCCTGAAAACCAAATTTAAATAAGTAGTAAAGCTATTAATATGGAAATAATGAGATGTGAATTTCCGGGCCTCGCTCTTTTTTGACAAAATAATAAGCCGATCGCAGTAAAAAATTTAATACTGAATTCAAAGCCAAGAAAATGTACACTGCTGGACATCGCTTTAAAATAAAAACAACTTTATTGCTTCGTTCGAGATACAGAAGCGTTTTTTAACGGTTTGAAAATAAATTATTCCCATTTTTCTGCGACACCTAGTGTAATCATACATAATGAAGAATCTCGAGCAAATATTATGCCATATTTTAATGAAGAGAGCTTTAATAATTCCAAATACGTTTCGATTTCCCTATTTTACATTTATCGTTAATATGAGTTTTCACAGAAACAAATTGTTTCTCATAGCTATATTGTATTTCGCTAGCCTAATCTGTCTTTTTTTTGACGTTTGTTTTGGGAAAGCAAACTAGTGTCTTTTATTCTTACTTGGTGTTTATAATTCATTTTAAGATGATATTGATTGAAGCCCTCTGAATTCAGTGGTACCCCTTCGGTTTCTGATAGGGCAATGTGTACAATACCCAATAAATAAAAAATTATGATTTCCTTTTTCGTAGCTTTTAGGAACCAACAATGAAAATGAAAGGAATGCTCAGAGACGATGTACCTTCCGTTCAAATAATTGAAAATTTAGCGGTTACTCAAAAGATGGACCGCAAAATAATAATAAACAAAGAGAGATTTAGGTTGTTTATTGTTTACACGGGCATTCGCAAACCGGTCGGTTCACGGTTTGAGTAAATGGTAAACAAAATTCAGGACTGGTAAATTTCATTCCGCAGTCGCGTTTACCATTTGCACAAAACAGTTCCATTTACCAAAAAAAGGGTGCAAAAGCCAGAAACTGGCATCAAAGTTGACTTTGAAGAAATGGAACAGGAATTTCTCTCTGCAACATTCCTTCTAGAGAAACGGGATTAACTTTTCAGATGTTTTGTTGGTTGTTAGCGCTCGCTATGCTCTGGGTTGGAACGGTAAATAGAACACACCGATTTCTTGGGTCTTTCCAGCGGAAACTTTCCGGGAGCAACATCAGAAAAGGTAGGCCCTATTTTTCCGGACGGAACGTTCCAAACGGAAATTCGTGTTCCCTTTCTTCAATTAAAGCCATCTTTGATACCAGTTTCAGTCCTTCGTGGCCGTTTCGGTTAATGTCGGAACTGATTTGAACAAACTGCAAAAGTTGATTCCGGGACGAAATTTACCAGCCTTGAATTTTGCTTACCATTTAACTTACAGTGTGAACCGACCAGTTTGCATTGTAAATGGTAAACAACCGTTGCTCCCAGAAATCTTTCGGCGGAACGACCAACCGGAATTTCAGGAATCTTTTGGTAAATGGAAAGCGCCCCGAGAAATGCGTTTACCGCTGACAGTTGTTTTACCAACCAACAATAAAAGCAATAAAAGCAATCCTATCTGGAGAAAGAGAATTCTGGACAATTTCTGAACTAACGATGTCTTCATTGCGAAGAGGTTTAAACTCGCGTATTAAAACAGCAAACGCCAAACGTAAGATTTAACTTCATGACAATTTCTCAAATTACGAAATGAGCAGATAAAAACTGTCAGCCTGGCTTGAAACTATTTATTTATAACGAAGAGTAAAACGAAAAGTAAAGGGAAAGCGTTGTCACTTGATATAAGTTGAGGAAAACGTCATTCTAAATCTGATCTCTGTGATATAAAAGTGTCCTTTTATGAAGATAAAAACTCCTGTCTTGTAAACAGCTCTAGTAGCTGACTGATCTGCATCTTTGTAGGTCTGATATACCCTTTTTGTTAAGGCCAGTTTTTAATGGGGAGTAGGGTTGCTTCGACTTTCGCCAATTTGCTTGCCCCTCCCCCCTCCCTGATTATTTTTGAAGGGAGGGGTAGATGTAGATTAATGATAAGAAATTCAACCCTTTGAATGCCAACCCAAACACACACTAGCAACCGGTAGCCGTATTGGATTTTTTTACGAAAATGTATTTTTAGCAATTTAAGACCTTTAACACTTAATAATAACTTCTCTTTTGTTATAATTCTTGCCTTCAATAAGTAAATACAATAAAAATGTAAGTGATGTGGCAAGGTAGTCACAACTATCATGGCAGGTTCTTTCAATACTTCACAACAAAACATCAACTTGTGGTGTAACTTTCGCTAACTTCCTTAAAAAGCATTCCGGTCAGCAGTTTACATTATAATCGCCTTCTCAGACTCTTTCAAACAACGACAGACGAAAACGCCGAGCAACCGGGAGAAATAAAACTATGGTAAGGAGAGGAAGTCGAGAGTCAAATAAATGAATTAATGACCGTAGGAAATTAACCGAAAGAAGGAACAATCAAGGTTTCTGACTACAATTCAAAAAAGAAAGAACAAAAATAAATCGCCTATCGTCGTTGAAATAATTTGTAAAGGTCAGTGAAGGTGTACTACAGGGTAGTTTCCTTAGACTCTTTTCAACTTCTACTATAAGGCGTGAAAGCCTAGGGTTGCTATTAATATTAAAGGAGATATATATATGTTGAAGAAAATATTGGCCTTTTGTGAATGCGTCCTCTGTCGCAGTGCCCGTCTCACAATTATCTTGGTTAATTATTCACTCTTTAAGTGAAGTCTTGAATGAGATCCAGTGGCATGAAATATACTGGCTGGGTTGTGTCAGTGTTTCCTCGTAGTTCAAGGTTATGGAGCATGTTTTAGTTTTATGTGCACTAATCGCCACTGAAGAGAGATAGTGAATACAATTAAAAACTAGGTCGAGGAGATGACAAGTAAAAGCTAAAAAGGAAATACTAAATGAGTGAAAGATGAACGAAATAACATACAAACTGAGTGATATTTCACAAACGGTCGAACGAAAATAAAAGGCTGAATGAAGAGAATAAACATAGCGAGGATAGCAGTGGAACAGACACTGCGTCAAATAAAAATACTGCTGAATAAGCAAACAGGCAGACGAAAAAATAAATACGCTTGCATACGTAAATGAATAAGCTACAAAAGGAGTAGTAATTTTAAAGACATCACTGCAACTGGCCAGCATGCGAGTAGTTTTGGAGAAGTGCACAAGATACCGTGTGGGCAAATGATACTGCTTGAGAACTTACCCCAAAAGAAGATACCAGAGTCTTGTTATGCACAAGGGAGGATACTTGCTTCCATCGTGACATAATAGGGCGATCTTGTGTAGCAGCAAAATAGGCAGGCACAACAACAAAAAAGCACGCTTATATACCACAGTGTATAAGGAAGTGCTGTATCAACTAGAACAATACTTTGCGGCCGTGAAGACCGATCTGAAGAGAGCTGATCATACAAGAGGAGAAAGAGAGTGTAGATACAAATAAGAAGTAGTTAAAGAAAACTACTTGAAAAAGGTTATTGAAACAAGATCTGAATCAATAGTGCACCGTGAAACGAATGAATTATTAATTAGTAGAAATAAAGCATTTAATGGCGGAGCAGCATATTTCAAAGAACTGATAATCATATTTTGGAAAAAAACGTAAGTGAAAATTGACCTTCATTTCTCAAGAGCTTATAAAACATCAAAAATATTACCGTGGCTTTCAAAATATCTCAGTAACCGCTATTTTACGATTGAGGTGCAGTTTATAGTTAAATAAAAGCCTCTCCTCTCTGTTAAGCAGGTGGTACTAGTCTAAGGCGGAAAAATATAATCCACTCTAATTACCTCCATCTTGAAATCATTTAATCCTTCGCAAAACTGACGCTTATANCAGTGTATAAGGAAGTGCTGTATCAACTAGAACAATACTTTGCGGCCGTGAAGACCGATCTGAAGAGAGCTGATCATACAAGAGGAGAAAGAGAGTGTAGATACAAATAAGAAGTAGTTAAAGAAAACTACTTGAAAAAGGTTATTGAAACAAGATCTGAATCAATAGTGCACCGTGAAACGAATGAATTATTAATTAGTAGAAATAAAGCATTTAATGGCGGAGCAGCATATTTCAAAGAACTGATAATCATATTTTGGAAAAAAACGTAAGTGAAAATTGACCTTCATTTCTCAAGAGCTTATAAAACATTAAAAATATTACCGTGGCTTTCAAAATATCTCAGTAACCGCTATTTTACGATTGAGGTACAGTTTATAGTTAAATAAAAGCCTCTCCTCTCTGTTAAGCAGGTGGTACTAGTCTAAGGCGGAAAAATATAATCCACTCTAATTACCTCCATCTTGAAATCATTTAATCCTTCGCAAAACTGACGCTTATACAAAAGACACTTAAGTGTGGCATAAAGTACTTCTTGACAATTTTCTTGTACGAATAGTGACAACGTGGTAGTTTTAATAATTAGGCAACAACTGATATTGACTGTCTTTTCTTTATGTTTAATTATGGCATTTGTAATGTGTCTCTGGGCAGAGAAGGGAAGGTGTTTAATGTTTGCCAGGTCTATTAACGCTCTTGGTCATTCAGTCTATTTTTCAGTAAGTCTATTTCTTCTTCTCTCTAGAGATTTAAAATGTATGAACTCCCGCTCCAGTGATCAATAACTCTCTGTGAGGAATCTTTTTTCCCTCGAGATGAGCTGACCTAATTAATTCCCCTGTTCAGTTTTGTGTTTAGGGAGTTTTACGAAAGCTAAAAACACCTTTAAACTAATAAATTATCCATAACAAAGAAGTCGTTAAGGCAAAAATAAGACAAACTGCCATTGGCAACAGACCGTTCTGGCTAGCTGTGTTATTGTTTGTTTTTGGAAAATGTAATGGCATGCAGCTCACGAAAGCGACCACCGAAATTGCCAAGAATTAGTTGTCGTCTGCCGAAGGTAACGCCCTCTCGAGGGCGGATTTCACCCACAGTTTTCTCTGAGAAAGCCTGGCTTTGTATTTCGGATGGGTGATCGCTTAAGATAGGTCAGTGGTCACACACATGGTGTTCCCCTACATCGTTTTTATTTTATTAGCTTCGTCAGATGTGGCGACGAAACCAAACCAGCCTGGACTAAATATTTTGTTTCCCTGTTTGGAGATTGTTTTTGCGATCTCGCTCCTTTTATGGGGGAGTAACTGTAAAGAAAAATATAAAACGAGCATGTACACGCACGAATGGCCCAAACACGCGCGAGTGGGCAAATACCCTCGCACGTATCTCCCGTTTTCATGGAATATTTTTCTGCCAGGTTTCATGACGGTCTCATTAACGTCATAGCGGCGCTGCCAAATCAATTTCATTTGCTGTCAGCTCTTATATCAAATAAACAATGTTTGGATTCTTTGAGTCAATATTTGCCGTCCGAGAAATTTTAATTTTCATGTCGCTGTGACATAATGTAAAAGCAAGTTTTTAGAGTTTTAAACACCATGCAACAGTCTACCAGAACAGTGGCTTGCGGTTTTTTTCTCAATATCGAGGGGCTGCGTGCATTCGCAATAGCACACTCTATATTGGGTGCTTTCTACTAAATTTTCTCTTGCGAGTATAGTTTATGAGCTAGTGACATTATTTTTCAAAGATTTAACCGTATAGCATGATATATGTAACCAATATACTAAACAATATTTAACGTATCTCAGCGTGAAACCTCCACAAAATGTTTAGAATTTTCTGCATTTGAGAGAGCTGCAGTTTTCTTCCCAGACGAAGGTTCGTATGCAGTCTGGTTCGTTTGCGTAGCTGAAAACTAATGAAACGCTATTTTTTTTCTCGAAAAAGATTTTTAATGCTAGGATGTTTTGAAAATTTCCAGATATCTTAGATATAGACTTTCTAGTTTTTAGGGATACATTAAGCAGCGTTAAGGTCATTATTGCCTAAGTAACGAACGTTGTCAACCAATGTCTGAAATTGAATTCCGGCCTTTTCTTCAATAAAGCTGAGTTTA